GTACTAAAAGTACTCTGATTACCAGAGTTTAAATGAAAAGTATTAAAAGTACTCTGATTACCTGAGTTTAAATGAAAAGTACTAAAAGTACTCTGATTACCAGAGTTTGAAGAAAAAGTTCTAAAAGTACTCTGATTACCAGAGTTTAAAGAAAAAGTATTAAAAGTACTCTGATTACCTGAGTTTAAAGGAAAAGTACTAAAAGTACTCTGATTACCTGAGTTTAAATGAAAAGTATTAAAAGTACTCTGATTACCAGAGTTTGAAGAAAAAGTATTAAAAGTACTCTGATTACCTGAGTTTAAAGGAAAAGTACTAAAAGTACTCTGATTACCAGAGTTTAAATGAAAAGTACTAAAAGTACTCTGATTACCAGAGTTTAAATGAAAAGTACTAAAAGTACTCTGATTACCATAGTTTGAAGAAAAAGTACTAAAAGTACTCTGATTACGAAGATTAAATGAAAAGTACTAAAAGTACTCTGATTACCTGAGGAGGTTTGCAGGTTTTTTAGCCTCTGTAACATGAATATTCTTCAAACACAAAAAGTCAAATAAAACCTCTTTATTTTTAGGAAATGTGGAGTAAAAACATGATTTGAACCATTTTGTCACAAAACTGCAGATTTTCTTTTGAACGTGGCTCAAAGTGAAACAGGAAGTGAYATCAAAGGGGAACTCTAAGAAAAGGAACTCTCTCTTTATTTAATGAAATATTTGAACTCTGACTCTTCATCTCTCTGGTGACTCAGTAATCTAAAAAACCATCAGATTCTTCTCTGCAGTCTGTTATTAGTCGTCATAGCAACGCTCTGTTTACATGCCCTTTGACATCACTTCCTGTTACTTCAAATGCAAATATCTCAACAGCTGCTGATCTCAGCAGTATGAGATTTTCCCTCCAGTGTGTTATCAATGTAATCTTTCTAACATGCATTCACATTTGTTTCAGAAATTTGATGTCACAGGTACTTTAAAGTAAAATGATCTACGAGCCCTGAGCTGATGMACGCTCTCTTTACGTAGAATAATCAAATCATAAAACAAAATTTATTGTTTCCTCAGATCGTCTCCAAAGGGATCCCCATGAACGCCAGAATGATCCACTCTCTGAGCGGGAAACAGTCTCCCATCCCGTACGGGAGGAAAGGCCAGGTGAGGTGAACACCTTTTCTCCAGGTAACTGCAGGACTTCCTGTCATTTATTGAACTTTAACGTCTTTAAAACCACATCAGAGCTCAGAGCTTCAGATTTTACAACCAAAACAACCGTTTTGATTACTTCTCACTCAGTTTACCTTCTGAGATGAAAGAACTAAAAGAAACTGTAGTGCATGGAAACTCTTATTTTGGTAAATTAAAGAACTGACCTGATTTCTCTCCACGCTGGGAGCTGCTGAAAAGAACCTTCCTGTTTTTGGGTCAGAAGGTTTTGGGCGAGCAGAACCGCTTCAGGTGCAAATTAGACCTTCACATTCAAATGACATTTTTTAAACTTCCTGTGAGTCCGGAGGAAGAAAACGGGAGACTAAAGGATGCAGAAGGTCGGCTCAACAGAAGTCTGAGTGAGATTATAATGAGACGGTTCTGTTCGGTCCGTGAGCTCCGTCTCAGAACAGCTCTCCGGTTCTCCTGCTGCCGGCTCACAGGAGGATCTGAATCCCGTCAGGGGATCCTCACAGTTTAAATTAAACTCAGATGTTCAAACAAAGCAAATGAAAACATGAGTGAATTAAAGCCARGAGGTTCTAACTGCTTCTTTCTCTCAGTACATCCTGTCTGTGGACCGGGCCAACCTGAACAAGGAGCTGCTGACAGGTACGAGCGCCGGATTGCTAAGTTTAAAGGGCCTGTGACATCAAATTTTTGTAATAAATGTGAATGCGATTTTGGAAAGAGAACACTGAAAACATGTTGCAAAACAAATTTCATGCTGTTGAGATGAACAGTTGTTGAGATATTTGCATGTGAAGAAACAGGAAGTGATGTCAAAGGGGAATGTCTGCATGTAAACAGAGCGATGCTACAATAATTAGAGAAGAATCGGTTTCTTTAGATTACTTTGGGTCACTATCAGAGTTCAAGAGTTTAAATAAAATTAAGAAAATTAGCATAATACACATGATTTTACCCATTTTGTCTCATAACTGGCATATTTTCTCTTGAATTTGGCTCAGCAAAGTGAAACAGGAAGTGACATCAAAGGTGAACTCTTTAAGAAAATAATCTCTCTGGTCTTTGTTTATTGAAACAATCTTATTTAAACTCTTCTTCAACTCTGATAGTGACTGAAAATAATCTAAAGAAACATCAGATTCTTCTCTAATTATTGTAGCATCGCTCTGTTCACATGCAGACATTCCCCTNAGAAAAAAGAATCTGAACCAGTTAAATCTGATTTATCAGTGTGCATTGCATTGGCAATGCACACTATTGTGATTTGTTTCCCATCCAAGTCATCTCCACTTCGGCATGCTTCTCCTCCTGCATACTTTGTCCTAGAGCTGCCATTGTAATTTATATCTGTAAAGCTCCTGTGCCAAATGATGGCTATGCCTTTTGGTGCCTGTACAACTTATAGTTTTTGAAATACTAATGTTTAATAATTTATGATGGGAGTCAATGGAGCCTTGTATTGGTCCAATGCTGCCCCCTGCTGTATCTACTCAATACTGAATCATAGTTTAATAATATTTAATCTCAATAATTCAATGGTTACAATACTAATATGATTGTATTTTGATGTTTTACTATAATGTTTTCCTAATATTGCTCTATTGCTGTAATAATTTGCAGTTTAGTGTCAACAATTGCATTGGCAATGTGGCCTCTTTCTGCRTACATACAAACCAACCCTTGGCARTGCCCACTSCCACAGCTCCAATGGTCTCATGGTTAGGTCTATGAGCTTTCATGTGGGAGAGCAGGGTTYAAAACCCAGTTACAGTAACTTTAACAGACAAATCTCTACAAACTTCATTTTGTTACACAATTACCCTCATTACAGACACCTGCTGACTTGACAAGCACAAGTTGGTAGAAAACACATTTGAACTTGGTCACATTTCATTCTGCAAGTCCACTGCTGCAGGTAATGACATGCTACGTGGCAATGCACACTTGTTTTTACATCGTAAAAACCCGTGTCTAGTTAAATATAATTTTCAGTCTCTGTACTGTCGTTGCCTCACCACTAGATGCCAACAGATTTCTTTACTTCTGCACTGAAACATCATTTAGTGTCTCCTGATCAGTAATTTGCAACAATCTGAAAAGCAGAATTTGTTCATTTTAYTCTGCTGGGACCTAAAAACTCATCTTTCTGACCTTTTTTCTTTTTTTATTCTATTCTTCAAATACAGACTTCAAACTGCATCAACAAAGACAGACGGGCAGGTTTTCTTATTTTAAACTCAAACACTGATTTTATAATCTCTATTKTTGCCCTGATGAGACAGAGTTAAAGTCCAGATGTGAGCAGGTTCAGTTCTCTGTCAGATGAGTTTTGGACAGAAAGAGGAACTGGTTGTGAACTGATCCAACGCTCATCATCGGCCCTCCTCTTTTAAATTTTAACTCAGCAGTTCTGTAAGCCCCTCTAAACCGGACGGTTTGTGGGCCAGACCACCACAGAACCCACGGGCGACATGGAGGACCCGGGCCCCGCCGGCAGACAGACCAGGAAGAAMGTTGTAGCTGTGGTGGGCGGAGGGTTGGTAAGAAAAGAAAATGAAAGTGAATTGTTAACTCTTTACACATCGAGTGTTTTATTTTATCTCAAACAGTCTGTTGCCACATGATGAACTAAAGTCTGGAGCAAATCAGCTCAAAACCAACAGTGTGTAGTTCTGTGTGTAGCTCTGAATGTGCACCTTGGACTTTGTTGTGTAACTGCAGTGATTTTGTGAAGCTTTTTAATCTCGTCCTGCTGCTGCTCAGGTCGGAGCTCTGAACGCCTGCTTCTTCGCCAAAAGAGGCTTTCATGTGGAAGTGTTTGAAACAAGGGAAGGTAGTGTTCAAACCTTTACAGTAAAAACACACACCTGCCTCAGAAACACCTGCCTCAGAAACACCTGGCTCAGAAACACCTGGCTCAGAAACACCTGGCTCAGAAACACCTGCCTCAGAAACACCTGGCTCAGAAACACCTGGCTCAGAAACACCTGGCTCAGAAACACCTGCCTCAGAAACACCTGGCTCAGAAACACCTGCCTCAGAAACACCTGCCTCAGAAACACCTGGCTCAGAAACACCTGCCTCAGAAACACCTGCCTCAGAAACACCTG